GCACAGCTGACGGTCATTTTCTGTTTCTCTTGATTCATGCCACGTCATGTCACCACTGTGCATGATTATGGGGGCATGGATGTTGCTGTGTGTGGTCACAGTGCATTGTCATGGTTGTCTGCATGTGCGTTTGTTTAAACATACAAATAAATGTGTGTGACAAAAAAATGAAGGTGGATTCACGGCAGAGAGGAGCTGATGGAGTGAAGGAGGCAAACAAGGTCTCGCGTCTCATCTTCCATCCTTTTTAACGTTTGGTTTATTGACCTGAAAATGGCAAATTGCAGGAACGGGACGACAACAGAGAGGTCACGAAGAGCGAGGAGGAACCAGGAGACACGGAGGAGCAGGACTTGGAAGTCACAAGAAAAATCCAGGTTAGTACAAAACTGTCACTTAAGTTACCAAAGGTACCATAATGTTCCAGCATCGGATGAATGTCAGGGGTTTAAATATCCAGCAGTGAAGTCATCAGGATTAGATGCAGGTGTGGAGAGGTGGATGATTCAATTCAATTCAAAAATACTTTATTAATCCCAGAGGGAAATTATTTGTTGCTGTAACTCGTTATCCTCATTTCATTAAGAGATGTTATAGATGCTGATGCTGTAGACAGGAAGGATCTCTTGTAAAGGTCCATCCCACAGTGGATCCTAAGAAACTGGCTGCAGATGTCGTCCGATCCGTCCATCCAGACTCGGCTGGCCTCTCGGTTCCCCCGGGCTGTAGGACCGCCCGAATGCCGGGCAGAACTCCTCCCAGAGCGATGGCCACTCCTCCCAGTCTGCCAAGCTCCTCGTCACTGCGGACAGCCAACTGTAGGTGCCGAGGGACGATCCTGTCCTTCCGCTGTCATGAGCCGTGTTTCCTGCTAGTTCCAGGATCTCAGTGGTCAGGCACTCGAGCACAGCTGGCAGGTAGATGAGAATGCGTCCACAGAACATCCTTTCAACTCATTAGATATTTGGGGTTGTAGTTGAGATATTATTTGAGCTTTTCAGATGTTAATCAGCTGTTGGTTGTAGAAAACTGCCTTGTTGCCATGGTTACACATCATAACAAATGTCCAAAACTAAAAAAGTTTCAGTAAAAATCCTTCCAGCTGCACAGCATCCGATACCAGAGGAAACAATCATCCAAAAAAATGTGATTTACATCCAGAAAAAGAGGAATTAAAGTTTCCAAAAGCAAAATCTCAGAATGAAAGTAACAGAGCTGCTCCAACATGCAGCCACCTGGAGCTAGATGGAATGATAAGCAGCTGCGGGGAAAGTGGTTTGGGCTGAAAAACTAGAAATCCTACACTTTTTAAAAAAATTGTTTTTATATATTTCCATTTGACTGATGTGAAGTTACACCGAGGGACTGGAATCAAGTTAGTTCTAATAAAAACCGCTCCGGTTCATCAAGTTGTGTTTTGGTCAGACGTCTACAGGTCCACTTGTTTTATTGACAGTCGTTCGTTGTTGTAGACCTGCTGCAGATTGCTCTTTTGTCACGGTTGACTTGATTCGGACAGATTTTCAAGACGGCGGTGATTCAGACTCGGTGGTTGAAGAGTTCCTGTGAAAAGTGCACAACAGTGGTGTGGTGGTGTGTGTGTGTGTGTGTGTGTGTGTGGGGGGGGGGTCCATCACTAATCACATTAGTTTATAATCTAATCAACGCACCTTTGAGTTTGCCTGCTGACAAACAATCATTTTGTAAATGTTTTGCTGTATTTTTGTGCCAATGCACACGAGAAAGAGCAAAACATCTCAACAACAGAAAATGTTTTATGTCTTAGCCACAGACTACAACATGCTCATGATTTATTCTTATTATTGTGCAGGAACGTTCTAGTCTCCATGTTCGTTCTCTGTTGTTTTTCAGTCCTTTCATACAAACAGATGATATTCAGTAATTGTAGATAATTTTTTTATATTTGCAGAAACAAACGACTGAGGATAAACTCAGGGAAATAGTTCTCGTGTGTTTTATATTTATAGACGTCCGACACAGAAACGGAAGCAGATCTGTGAGTAACGGTCGGGACAAGCAGTGATTTTTATTTTAGTTTATTTTTTCAGATTAACTTTTAACATAAACTATTGTTTCTTATGAGGAGAGTTTATAATCAGATTAAATCCAGTGTACAATTTATATAAACAAAATTGTTTGAGTAAAACAAAATACTATTTAATGAAAATTATTTGCCGCAATCATGAAAATTACAACGGCGAGCATCAAAAATGATCAGTTCTTTCTCTTCATCTTTTATTATAAAATTTAATCCAACAAACTGTTTCTGACAGAAGGATTTTTATTCTGTTTGCACAACAAACAAAGACACAAAGGAAAAGGTGATGAGACGTAATTGTTATTTTTGTTACTTGAATATTTGATGAATACTTTAACTCTTTTAATCTGATGAGAAATGAGGAATTTTAATCTGATTAAATTGTTTCAGAAATATTAAAAATAGTTTTCCGGCTGCACTCAAAGTTCTGAGCATGCAGAGGCTGCAGGGAACACAAACTGATATTTATGTTTTGGGCTGCGTGGCATAATCTATTAAACCCTATGAATTGTGTGGGTGGGGGGGCGAGGGTTAAGTTTTGGGGGAAGCACAACGGGGATTAAATGACCATAATTCATGTGTCGGACTGGGTCCCCTCTTTAACGCTGGAGCATCTGGACGGTCACAGCAACAATATGTGTTCTGCTTTCTCCTGCTAACTTAAGCTTGTTCTTTCTTTTCAGCTACCTTTTAAAAATATATATATTTTTAAGCTAATTTCAGCTGTTTTCAGATAAATTCAAGTTTTTTGTGGTAATTTTTGCTTCAAATTTATTTATGGTAATTTCAGCTTGTTCTGCTCCTGTCAGCTTTTTCTGTTAGTTTCAGCTTTTTCTGCTATTTCAGCTACCATTTAGCTGTTTTATGCTAATTTTAGCTTTTTCAGCTAATTCCACATGTTTTTAGCTCATTTCAGCTCTTTCCACTTCCTTCTTGTAATTTAAGCTTCTTTCTGCCTTTTCAGCTACTTTTCTGCTATTTGTTTAGCTAATTTTAGCTTTTTTGAGCTAATTTTCCTTTTTATGTTAATTCATACCTAATTCAGCAAATATGTGTTCTTTCTGCATTCTTCTGCTAATTAAGGCTTGTTCTTTTCAGCTACAATTTAGCATGTTTTGTTAGCTAATTTCAGCTGTTTTTCAGCAATAAGCATTCACACTGCATTTTCACAGGAGATGCAGTTTCTCTCGTTTTAGCTGTGCAACAGTTTGTTTCAGAGCTGTGATGAATATCTGCAGAAACAAGAAACACATTTGATGAAAGTGCATATTTTTTAATTCGTGACCACTAAGTGTGTCAGAATCAGCAGAAGTGCAAGCAGTGGGCATCACAGCTTTGAGGCAGCAGAAAGGGCATGAAGCAGGAGGCCGATCTTTTCAGAGAACACACGACTGAAAGTAAAAACTGTAACAGATGTGGACACCTTTAGTTGTTGTTGCTCTGTCCTGTGTTTCTGTCGGTTCACGTCGGCTTCACTCCGAGAAATAAAACCAGTTCTGTCGAATCAGGAGCTGAAACGAAGCCGAGGGGGCAGCTGCGTGGACGTTCTCACGGCCAGTTATTAAACCGATGCAGGCGTGGGTTTTTTTTTTGTTCGAGGCAAAGAAGCAAAGATGGTTTTTTTTTTCTGGCCTCGTTTTAGGGAGGAGGTTGTGTTTTCTGTTTTCAGATGCAGTTTGGTGAAACGTGTCTCTTTCTGAAAGCATTTCGTATTTTCTAAATGGAGGCTTTAAAAAATGTCCTCGACCTACTTTTCACGATCCACTGAACACGTTTTCTTTCCCAGTAAACATTTAATTAGAGAAACCAAACAAATCTGCTTTTACTTCTGCTTCCTGCTGCACAAACTCACCCAAACATACAATACACAGCCTATATCTAATTAATATGCACCCCCCCCCCCCCCCCACACACACACACACACACAGTCATTGCTCAACCCCTTTCTCTTCTTTTAGGTTTTTTTTGTGTGTGTAGAAGAATGCCCACGACCCCCACCATGATCATTACTCCGGGGTCTTGGGCATTCATCACCATGTGAGCCGACCCCCCCCCCCCCATACTCCTTCCCTTTTGTTTGTTTCTCTGTCACACTTTGAAACAGGTTGTTTTTGCATGACGTACAATTATTGTTTATGTCTTACTTAATATTAATCTTCATCTTCCTCTGTGATGGGGGAGGAAGTGAAGCTTCCCCACATCAGCCTGATCTCCATGAGGGGGGGTGGTGTGTGTGGGGGGCACTTCTATTGAGATCTGACACTTTGGAATAAATGAGCCAAACCTCTGGGAAAGTGAGGGAAGGAGGAGGATGGACAGAAAAAAAACAAAGGTGAAGGAGGATGAGGGAAGGATTTTGGTCCAGAGGGTGAAGAAACTGAAAACTAGACAAAAACAAAATCAGGAAACAAAACCCACACAACATATTTTCTCATGTCGGTGCTTAATAATCCTCAAACTAAAAAAATATCAGCTTAATTATGACCGGAAGTGAACCACCATGTGGGTTTGTTTACGCAAAAACCAGCGGAAGTGGCTGAAAACTGGACAAACTGAAGGAGTTATGAACCATCCAGATCTGTCAGGCGCTTCACGAGATATTTTGCTAACACGCAGGGTGAACACCAAATGTTGAAACAGAAGTTTGAAGCACTTTGTGTTGGGAATGACAGTTTATGAACAACTTCAGGGTGATCTAACAAAGTTAAATCAGGTCCTCTGGATGGATTAAAAAAATAAAAATAAAAATCTTCAGGGTGAGTTTTAGGGAAAATGAAGAGGATGTCAAGGAGGAAGGTCTGAGGAGGAGGAGGAGAAACTGGGAAAAAGTGAGATGAAGTTTCAGGAAAATCACGAATGGAGGAAGAGGAGCGTCTTGGGCAAATGAGGGAGGGAATAAATGAGGGGGGAGGGAGGGAGGGGGTTCCTCCTCCTCAGAGGGTGAGAAGGCTGATGAGCGCGCGCTGCTCTCCGCCGTGCGTCCGTCTCCCTCTCAGCCACACATAATAAAGTGTAGTGCCCAAAGCACCGATCCGTTCCGAGCCGAGTGGAACCTGCGCGTGTGTGCCACCCCCACCTCCTCCCCCCCCTCCGCCTCCATCACCTCGCCCTCACAGCTCCGCGCGCCGCGTTGGGAGGCGATGGAGCCGTGAGCCGCCCGCAGAGCCACTGAAGAACCGAGCTGCTATGGAGGAGAAGCGCGGGGGGGCTGGAGTCTAGACCGCACTCAGACCATCAGATCCACCAGTCCGGACCACTTGCTGCGCCACCCGTGAACTCTGAGTCCAGGGACAGGGTTTTTGTTTCCCGTCTGCTCGGAGCATCGCACAGAAAGGATGCGGGGACAGAAGGAGGCGAGCGTCTTCCCGGGATGCTGGAGACCAACGCTGCTGTGGTGCCTCCTGCTTCTGCACCTCCTCCCGCTGCCCGCGCACGGTAAGCACCTCCACGGCCTCCATTCTGCACGCAAAGACACCCACATGGACTCTGCAGCGGCTGCAGCGCATCCTCTCAGAGGAGTCAGGGTACCGGAGCACACTCCCCCAGGGCAGCCAGAAACCAGGTCAGGCTCAGATGGGGGGGTTAGGAAGCGCCTCACTCCCACTGGATACTAATGAACCTCTGCTCGATGAAAATCAACTAAATTCATCATTTGAAAACAGAAAAAAAAAAATGCAATATTATCTTAAAAATATATAGTTGAGGAACATTTCCCTTGATTTAAATCTGAAAGCTTTAAATTGATCACAGGTTCCACCAACATGGACATAAACCAAAATGAGGTCAGAGCGAAGACACAAGTGGACATCGTTTATTAGGGGGGGTAACAAAGAGGTCAGTCTGGACACACTGAAAACTGAAAGGATGTCAAATATTATGCTGAAGAAATGGCGGCACAAATGAATCCCTGACATCTCAGTGTGGGTGGGTGGGCGTTGGGAGGATGGGGGGGTGTTCACGACAGTGTGGGGTTTAAATAAAGTCTTGAAGAAACACGGATGGAGAACGCAGACAAAGGCTTTTCAAAACCAGTGAAACCAGGTCACTGTTAGTCAGGTGCAGGGAGTCCGGACGATCAGTGGCGGTTGCAGGGGGTGGCACAGAGTGGCACCATCGTTTCCACCCTATTTGGAGGCGATATTTGTGTAGACTTGGACCCCCCCCCCCCCCCACTCCACCACCTAGTTTCAATCCAAACTGAATCTGGGGTCAACGTGGCGTTACTGATGGCAGCTCTCGGTTGAGGCTTGTTCCATGTGTCATTTATAGTCGGAGGCAAAAACCTGAAATCTTAAAGTGAAACTTGTCCTGCAACAATTCATTTTGGCCCCCACCATGAGGAAAACATCTCGATCCGCCGCTGGAGATGATGCAGCAAACCAGATTCCTGAAGGAGATCCGGCACCACAGCTTCACAAAGGCGAGGATTAGGGTCGAGGATGGGGGGTGGGGGGGTGATGAATAATTCATGGAGGGGGTCTGAGGGGACATTCTGATACACACAAAAAACAGAGGAGTAAACGCTGAAAACAGACACGGGCACCGTGCTTCTTTGTCTGAGATTTAGTGCTCACGCGGACTGCATCGCTGTCAGATTAATGGAGCAGGAGCGCGCACGAGCTGGAACCAGCCTGGTGTTATAATCAAATATAATCTGTGCGCCCGGTCCCGGACCGCTGGCTGAAACCTAAAGGATTTATATGATTGTGTTTTTATTGCTCCTGTCCGGTTTGTTGAAGGCCCCAACGAGCCGATCGTCCTGTGAGCCAACACTTGATTCAGCTCCAAATTAAAAATATACATTTCAAATGCGTATCTTTTATAAAATAAGGCAGAAACCTTGTGGTATTTTTTATTTTATTTCCTAACATGACTGGATTCAGCATCAAATAATAACAAAGATTTCAAGTCCTTATCTTTTATAAAATAAGGCAGAAACCTTGTGGTATTTTATTTCCTAACTCGTTGCCTAAGTTCTGATTGATTGGACACTTTAGCATTTTTATGCCTCAGATTTAGGTTTAAGATCGTTTTACGATGAAGACGTCAAACCTTGACGTGAATATCTCGTGTGTTTGTTGTGAATCAGCTGCTGCCACATCCAGCCAGAGCTCCACGTGTCAAACTGATCTGTAGCCATTTTGTGTCTTTTAAGGGCAGTTGGCATCTCTCAATGGGTTGGTTGTAAAAAAAAAAAAAATCAATCCGCACTACATCCAATGATTATTTCCTGAAAACAATCAAAGAATCTTAAATTTATTGGTCTTTAAACATAGATCTTCTGCATTCTGTTAGTGCTCGAAATGGAATTGCTACTTCCACACCAAAATGTAGTTCAGTAGCTGTAAAATTATCTGAGTTGTCGCTGTTGTTGTGTTTTTTAAGGTCTGTTGGCTGTGGCAGCCATCTTGAATTGGATTGATTCCAGACACAAATCAAATTTTAAGTTTTGACAATTTCGTTGAATTTTGTCCAGCAGTTCAGGCGATATACATGAGTCTGCCTGTACTTTTCACAAGCAGCAGGTGATAACGGTAACACGCCAGGTTATGTAAACCTGTTTTTCGCCCCGTTTGTCCTGAAAGCACAATTAAACCAGTTTGCATTCGTTTCCATGGAAACAGCTGAGTGGATCTGGCAGAAACGTGACATTCAAATTTAAAACCGTTCCAACCAAATATTGATCAACTCATCAGCTGTGGCAACAAATGCAACAGGTTTCATCTGTAAATTTGTCAAAAAACGTCACGCATTCAGTTTTTTTTTTTTCTACTTAGAAACGAGCTCCGACTAACGAGGCTTGTAAACTCGTTAACTGTTGTTTTGTCTTCAAGTCTGGAGTTACAATATATCTGGACGTGAACTCGTACCCGCAAAATGCATTGTGTCATATTATTCCTACACATCAATATAGAAACTCAGTGTTAGGTCCGAGTTCCTGTAAATTAAAATGGATTTAAGTTGAAGAACAATATATCATTTAAAAAAACGTTTTTCCTACAATGAAAAGAGAAATTCACCCAAACTCATATGTCTTTCCTGACGGTGAGTTTCTGCAGCCGGCGATCGCTGATAAACATCCTAATCACGCTGCTTGAACATTTCAGCTGCTTTACAGTATTTCTAATCTAAATCTTGCTTCGACACAAAGATAAATGAGACCTTTAGCTTTTCCCATAGCTTGAAACTTATAGTTAAAAGTGTCATCTCAGCTACGAGACGTGGCACGAGCATGTTGTTTGAGATGAAAGTCTATTAAGTTAGTGACGGTCATACTTTCATACATTCATTCATCAGTTTTTAGGAATCTTGCCCAAACTAAAGGATGACCATCCACCGTGTGTTTTGGGGTCAAAGCAGGTCTTTAAGATGATGAACTCATCCTCGTGTCACTTTGAGTGCAAATCTCTTTTCTGGTGCATCTTTGTCGCTTGTCATGTTTGATGCAGCATGAATTTACTGTCAGTTCCAGCTCAGGTGCATTTATGGTGAAACAAAAACAGGCTGGCAGATCTAGTGCAGACAACAACCTTGGGCATCTCCCCCCCCCCCTCCCAAAACACATCTCTTTCGCTTCACCAGTGAAGTGTGGAGGCGGCAGCTTGCCACCTCTTTGCGAGCGAACAAATCCATCTGCCTTGACTAGACGGAGGACAAGCAACTCATTTCCTCCATCTTTGTTCCCCTCCTTCTTGTGGAACTTAATCCTCCTCTCTGTTGAATTCTGATGGCGTGCAGCCGTCTCTGCCCTCCCCCACCAGCAGATAAGGTGATGGATGAAGTAACGCTGCCCAGCGCTTGGTTCAGCTCAGAAACCACGATGTGCTGATCTCACCCTCTCTGTCCTCTCTCCTTTGGCCTCCTGACTAGGGATGCACGATATTGGATTTTTGGCCGATATCCGATACCAATATTTTTAATATACTTTCCTTTATCAGAACATAGCCCTCTTATTTAGGCTTATTTGCTACAAAAATTGTGTAACAGCTGTAAGAGCTGGTGACATATATTCAGTAACAGCCATATGCATAGCACTTTAACTTATATTAAATGAAAAGTGTTAAATGGTATTTATTAGCATTAGCATTTATTAGCTGCAGTGTGGGATCCTCTGCACTCCTGTGCATGAAGGACAGCCTTTTTAAGTTCAATGTTTTTGTCTATCCATTGTGCCGTAAGACTAATCATGCTAACGGGGCTAACACTTGACGTCCAAATGTCTGTGGTAAAACTCACCCAAGTGCTATCGGCTATTAGCTTCTCAATGATGTCGGAAAAAACATCTCTGACTGGGGGCGATGTAGCGAGGCTCAACTTAGTCCAAAAATCTTCAGAATCCAATATCCTCAACGAAAAAAAAACCTTCCACACCGCCGACATTTTGACTTCTTCCTCTCCGCCGTGATCAGAACAGGTAGGCGTGTATGACGTCATCACGTTGCGCTGGCGCTGCATGCATCCTTGTCTCTGGGTTGTCACGCAAAAACAGCGTCTTTTATATCGGTGAGTTATTTTGATGGAACGGCCGATGTTTGATATTTAACTTTAACGCTAATATCGTCCGATACCGATACCATGCCGATAATATCGTGCATCCCTGCTCTTGACATTTGGATCTGCTGGCTGACATACTTTCAGCGTGGTTCACCATTAAAGCTGCTCGCTGCACAATATGAAATCAAACATAACAACATGTTCTCCTGAACTTGATGCAACGGTGCAGTTTGAGAGTTTACGCCAGTAGTTCTCCAGATATATTGACAAGCAGCTCTGAACTACGGGGACTCGCTCAACGTAAACAAAACACTTTTATCTGCTTATTTTACTGAACAAATCTGAGCATAAATACTTTGTATGTACCAGTACATGAAGTTGTCTCGCTCCATTCCAAATGGATCTTTTCCATTTTTAATCTCTTTAAGGACATTTGGGCTGTTTTTAGGTTAAATAAACAGAAGAGTTGTTGGCAGCTGTTCACAAATTTTACCTACAAATTTTTGATTTGGAGACAAATTAACTGTCAGTATGAGAAAATAAATTGTGCACATTTTGTTTCTTACTTTATGAATTATTTTTGGCTGGTGTTAATGATGTTGCATTGAGTACGTTTAGGCTAAATCCTCTCACTGAGGCTCCTCTACAAAACCAGTTCTGCCATTTTTTTTATACAAAGTAATAAAAGTCCATCCATCCATCATCTTTACCCACTTCTTCCTTTTCGGGTCACCGGGGGTCACTGGTGTTCATGTCCAGCCATCACTGTGCAAATAAAATAAGATCACATCGACAACAATTAGAACATTTACTCAGTTTGCAGCTCTGGTTATTAATGAAGAATAGCTTTGTACTCACTCACCCGCCTCCCTTTGGTCTCCATGGAAACCGTGCACATCCTCTGACAGCGGCCAGTGTGTTCATATCTCTGCCATAACGTG